TTAAGAAATTCTGCCAAGCTGGTGACAAACCCACTTTTCCCTGCCCATACCTTTTCCACAGCTAAGAAGTGTTACTTTTCAAACTACATTTGTATCTTAAGATATAAAGAGATTTAAAAGAAATAAATAACTGGAACTCTACCTGGAGCAAAGTTACAGGTCCTTTCTTAAGGACTAAAGCAAAGTTTATTAATTTATCCCCCCAAAAATGTAGCAACATTCATATTTTTCTTCATGTTGCTTTATTTGACAACTGTTTCGGAATTTATACAAAAAATAGCCATGCAGAAATTATCTTAAAGGATATGGGATTCAAGCAGAGTAAGAAAGACCTTGTAAATAAAGTAGGGAATTGGGATTTCGGAAATCTGGACTCATTTGCTTATGAGAAAACTGTAAATTTGGGCAGCTCAGATTAACATCTCACTCTAAAAAGAGGACATTAGTAAGACACATACTTCTCTTTGTCTTCCCTAAATCTCACCTGTTCCCTATTAAAGTATAGGGACAAAATGTAACTACAGGTTTCTACTGCAATAATGCAGTTACATTCAATTATAATAAAATATAATTTTGGCTGGTAAATACTTTTGTTCTGCACAAAAATTAAGACACACTACAAAATTAAGAAACTGTCATTTCTCTTCATAATAAAAAAAACACATAGAATTGAAACAAGCCACAAGATATTTCTTTGGGGAAAAAAACAAAAAACAACACAAAATAGAAACACTTTAAAATTGTTAATTATCCATTCAATAATATTTTTTTAAATTTCCTTACAAGACTGGAATGTCAAAATCAACATGAACTGCTTTACAAGTACTTTCAGCTTTTCCAGGTTTGGTGTGATATTTTTTTTTTCTTTCTATTAGGAGAGGAATCTAGAGCTAATTAAAAAGATTTTTTTAGTTCACTCACTGAAGTAAAACAGGAACCTTAAAACTGTTTTTAATCAAAATGTTTATTGATTTTTTTTAGCAAAATAGAAATAAAGTAATAATTTTAGATTAAAATTAAAATTCTCTGTCAACTCAAACTGAAATACTCTCATTTGTCTTTTCTGTTTTAATTATTCTATTCTTAAATAAAACTGAAACAACATACAAATTTTACATATTTTCAAAACCAAATGGCAATGCTTCATTTGTTATATCAAAATGAAATATTTAATAATTTTCAATATTTCGCCCAAAAATGAGTACCAAAAATGTTTGAATCAGTTCATCTTTAAACTCCACCGTCTTCATTAAAAAAAACCCAAAAAACCCCACAAAGAAACCAACAGGAAATCCATCTGCCATGCAGACTGAAGAGAACAGAATTTTAAAAACTGATTTAACTCTAATTTAATCTCCCTAAAGCAGAGAGCAGTTTTCAAAATTTTGGACACAGTGAAAGTCTGGAATGAAAGTGAACAATGAAAACTCCATACGTTTGTGGTTTCATAGCTGTGGTATTACCCAGCACTTCAAAAGCTTCCCCAAACTTTACATTTAAATATAGGTTTAAAATATACAGGTGACACTGTCAGCATTTTTCAGCACTTTATAACCACTGCTCCTATACACAAAATCCTCAGCAACAGTTCTGTGCATACATTTTGTCCTAAATTGAAAATCACAACTTTTCATCCATATTTAGCTTGTAATAAGATACACGTGAATTATTAAACAATTTTCCACGGCTTCATGTATAAGCTTTACCTTTCCATATCATCTTTTCTTCATTTATATCTGAAGTATCCTGTCAAATGCTTTATAGGACTGCTGAGGACTACATTGCCTGCTCTTGTGGAAAAGGTTAATGATTTTTTTTTGTTTGGTTTAGAAGAGATAAGTTTAATTTCACTTTCATTTTCACTATATCACAGTAATTCCATGAAAATGGAAAAGAGTAAGAAACAAATTCTGCTGTTTGTTCAAACAAATCAAACTCCTGGCAGTCATTTAAAGTTTTTTTTCTTTTTCATTAAGTGGAGGTTGCAACATCAACTTGTGCTGGCATCCAGCCATTATTTACTGTGAGCTGCAGCTAGTCACCATGTCTTTCAGAACACAGATTTTAGTACTATTTGTTGTTCACATTACCAGAATGATGGAGAGACCTGCCTTTTAACTTCTGACCTTACCAGTGGCTGAAGAAAGAAAAAAAAGAAAAGCTGACCTGATCCCAAAGAACTTACAGTCAAAGGATAAAACAGGAGACAAATGAAAATAGGCAGCTGACAAAGGGGCTAATAAGAAGGCGTTGATCAGAATCAGAGACATGACAACCATTTTATGACCCTGAGGACCAGTTTTATCCAAGGAATAATTCAATTTCCAGTAGGTGACATTCTCTCATCTTGCTGTTAAATGAGATACATTAACACAGCAAAGAACTCTTTGCTACTAGTTGGGGTGTATGTATTCAGAAGAAACAATACTGAACTTCTCAGCTTTGATAAACCTTAAAGAGGTCCTAATGTCCTTGTCCCCCAGGCACATGTATCCGGTGTCCAGGAGCCAAGTTGAGGCTTCATACTTCTATATTTGGTGCAAGTGCATATCCATGAGTGTCACTGCTGAGAATAAACAACACAAAGATTGGAAAGTCATTAATTACATGGCAATAAACCTAGGCCATGTGTGAGTAAATTCAAATATAATACTGATATAAAGGTGATGCTGCTGAAAGGTTGACTGATATATAAGCTTGATGCCTGGTAAAAAATGGGGATTTTTAATAGTTTTCTTCACTTAATAGTTAGTAATTTCAAAGTGTCCCCCTCTAACTGTGTATGCTCTGCTTTCCTTCAGTGCAGAGGAAATTTATTCTTTTGACACATTTATTCTTTTAATGGTTATTCATTTGAAAGAGTTTCACTGTGTGAATGTACATTTTAGTTTGGTGCTAAAGAAATTCATGCTTTTGACATTTTTATTCTTTTAACATTTATTAGTTTAAATAGGGCTGCAGACTCCAAAGCTGTTAACAAGAAAATTCTAGAAGGAGGACACTGCAGGTTAAATAACTCCATCATGCTGGATGATTCAAGAGTACCACATACTCTCCTACCTCTAATGTGGCACCTACACAAGAACATCATTTGTCTTTATAACTTATCCAAAAGTACCTTAAAAAAAAGGAAAGAAAATGGATGCTAAAAAAGGTTTAAATATGCCCCATTAGAGATGGCACCATAATATTTGCATGTTAATTAACTGGAAGATGATTATTCATCTGCATTTCTTCATGGTAGAACATTCATCCCAATGTTGCACACTGACTGATTGTATTATTTTTTTTCCTTTTCTTTTTTTTTTATTTAATCCAGAGGGCAATTCCATTTCTGAAAGAAAAAGTTCATTATCTTTTTGACATGCAAAGATTAGTACTTAATTTAAACACATTGATGTCACCTGTCAGTAGAATCTCTCCACTGTTTAGAAAGTTATCTGTAGGTGAGCTGAGTGTCCCCGAAGTTCTGCACTACTGGAGAAGGAGCCTGGACTACAAGCTCAGCCTGATTATCTGGTTTCCCACTACCTAAACTGCAAAGCAATTCAATCATCTGATTATACAGAAATCAAGAGCTTTCAGCAGACTGACTACGAAACACATCATTTAGCATGTGTGAAAGCGGAAGGGAGGGAAGGAAGGAAGGAAGGAAGAAGGAAGGAAGGAAGGAAGGAAGGAAGGAAGGAAGGAAGGAAGGAAGGAAGGAAGGAAGGAAGGAAGGAA